CCGTTTTTATGAAAAATCCCACACCCTGCTTTTTCATTGTAACCCCAGATCCTATAAGAAAATGCAATGTAGTATTTTCACTATGAGTACTGAGCTAATATCTATTTCCTGCATTACCAAACTCAGACAAAACACTGGCTCATACTTTTCTGATAAAAAGGAAAAAAATGCATTTGTATCTGTAATCAAGTGTAAAAGCTCTCATCAGCTGTCCTTCCTCCTGAGCCCCACCATGTCCCTGTTAGCTGAGTGACATGCTCACCATGTCATAAAACCGTGAGGAGAGACAGAAAGTGAGGCTGGTGATGCCACCTGCTAGGACGTAAGAGGGACTGGACTGAAACTCAGCTTGGAGATGTCATCCATTTCTCTCTTTTTTTTTTTTTTTTTGAGACAGAGTCTCACTCTGTTGCCCAGGCTGGAGTGCAGTGGCACGATCTCGGCTGACTGCAACCTCTGCCACCCAGGTTCAAGCGATTCTCCTGCCCCAACCTCCTGAGTAGCTGGGATTACAGGTGCCTGCCACCGTGCCCAGCTAAGTTTTGTAGTTTTTAGTAGAGATGGAGTTTCACCATCTTGGCCAGGCTGGTCTTGAACTCCTGACCTCGTGATCCACTTGCCTCGGCCTCCCAAAGTGTTAGGATTACAGGCATGAACCACCATGCCTGACCTCTTTTTCTCTTTTTACTGTGGTAAAATACGCTTAAAATGTACCATCATAACCATCTTTATTAACATTTTAAATGTTTCAGAACAGGGTCTTTCTCTGTCAGCCAAGCTGGAGTGCAGTGGTGTGATCACGGCTCACTGTAGTTTCCAACTCCTAGGCTGAAGCAATCCTCCTCTCTCAGCCTCCTGAGTACCTGAGACTAGAGGTGTGAGCCACGATGCCTGGCTAATTTTTAAATATTTTTGTACAGATAGGGTCTTGCTATGTTGCCTAGGCTGGTCTGGAACCCTGAGGCTCAAGTGATACTCCCACCTTGGCCTCCCAAAGCGTTGAGATTACAGGCATGAGCCACTGTAGCCAGCCCATTTGAACCATCTTGCCGTGCACAATTCAGTGGCATCTATTGCATTCACCGTGTCGTGCAACCATCACCTCTCTCTAGTTCCAGAACATTTCGTCATCCCAAAAGAGAACCTGTACCTGTTAAGCAATTATTCCCCATCCTAAGCCAGGATGATCTCTTCTTAACTTGACTGCAGCTACAAAGATCCTGTTTGCACATGAGGTCCCACTCACAAATCCTGGGGTTTAGGACTTTGGGGGGTGCACAGTCCAGCCAGTGCAGGTGTGGTGGAAGGCGTGGGCATTCAGAACACAGGAGTCATTGGATATCTATACTTTACAGAGAATCCTATCCTTAGCTCTGTTTCTGCTTCGTTAACGTGGCCTCCTCCCTCCCCTCCCCCTGGCCATAGTGAAACTAAGAACAGTGAGAAAACAGAACAGCAGGTGTCACCTTCCTTCTACCCAAAAGGCAGGTGAGCAAAAGGAGACAGGAACAGGGAAGTGGATAATTCACTGTCCAGACCAGTGGTGTCAACATAACACTCAGACTGTCTCATCTCATACTCACGCAGTCGACATCTCTCCATAGCAGTGTATGTCTCTTTGTACATCTAGTGAGGCATTGGGGTTTTTGCAGGAAGGAGTGACTCTAATGGGGCCAAAGTCTTTCTGAGGCAAGTCAGAACCTGGAAACTTATACAGCCTTAGGTGTGTGTCCTTTCCCTAACACAGAGCCAAAAAGAATCTCATCTTTCAAAAGGTAAGTGGAGAAGTTGCAGCTAATGCCGGTAGCATGACCTGTGGCCTCTACCTGGGCTTCATATCAGCTAAGATCTAGGCTTTTAGCTACTTTCAGGCCACTTTGGATGGGCTAGCAAGGTGGAAATACAAAACTAGCAGGCCAATAAGTCACTCGTCTTGCAGAATGATAGAAGTGTCGTGCGTTGAAGCAGCCGGGGTGTACTTGGAATTGATTCAACTGCTGGGCAGGGCAGGGGAGAGCATGTTTCTGAAATAGTGTGCATTGTACTTTCCATTTGTAGACTTAATTCTAATGAGTGAGAAGCACTTAACAGGACCACATGGTGATCTCTGTTCCATAGTTAGATCTAACCTGCAGATAGAGAGTAAGTCCCTTCCACATTCTTCCGTGGGAAGAGGACTCAATTTCTCTCCTTGTCTTCTTTCCTGGTTTTCTGACTTACATCTGCTAGATCCTGCAGTATTTTTTTTTTTTTTGAGACAGTGTCTTGCTCTGTTGCCCAGGCTGGGGTACAGTGGCACTATCATGCTCCCTGCAGCCTTGACCCCCTGGGCTCAAGTGATCCTCCCATCTCAGCCTCCTGGCTAGCTGAGACTACGGGTGCACTTCAGCACACCTGGCTTTTTTTTTTTTTTTTTGTAAAGGAGTGGTCTTGCTATGTTGCCCAAGCTGGTCTGAAACTCCTAGCCTCAGGCAATCCTCCTGCCTCAACCTCCCACAGTACTAGGATTACAGTTGTAAACTACCATGCCTGACCTTGTGGTACTTTGATTTCATGGATGGCTGACAGAATTTGAAATTTGGATGGCAGCCAGTTTGTTGTTATCCCGAGGGCTTACAGATTAATGTGGAAAAGTCTGTTGTCTGGAAAGAGGTGGGGTACAGAGGTGTGGTGGGGAAGGGAAGGAGAGATACCAGTAACAACATTTTGGGTGGGTTCCTGCAAGCAGGAAGCTGAGGAGCTGAAGCCAAGATACATGCCCACACCACTGTAAACAGGGCGGACTCAGGCAACATGTGCTGGGTATAAAATAGGCTTTACACATGCTTGATACATTGTGCAAAGAACTTGAGAGTGGATAAACATGTACATTACCAGACTCTGTGGAACTTGTTTTTTGTTCTCTTTACATTCAACTTACAAAATAAGAGTTTCTTCTTTTATTGATTTGACTGGTGGAAGGGAAGGGTCTTTTGCAAAGCATCTATATATTTTTTCCCTCCGAAGGTGTTCTTCTTCCTGCCTGTCTACAGACAGGCTCCACACACCAAGGCAGCCCTTGGCAGGAAGGGTGGGTGTGGCTTGGAGGTGTGCTACGGGTCTGAATTGCTGAAAGCCCGAAGCGACATTCTACCCAGCAGTAGAGCGTCAATGGAGTGTGGCCCAGACACGGCCCCCTCTCTGGGATTACTGATGCTCAGCTCCTTTCCAGCCCATGAGTCTTCCAGCTTCTGCTGTGGTCCTTGTTATCTTTCCCTGACTTTGTTTAGCAGATGCTTCTGTAACCAAAATGCAGGTTCAGCCGCTCGCCGTTTGCAGAGTGCAATTAGCAAGGGCGAGGTCCGGTATAAAGAAAGTGATTTTTTATTCCAGAGCTTTCTTAGGGGAAGAAGTACAGGCTTCCTGCTTGAGGCCACCACTTTGCTTTTGGAGCACAAAGCAGGCACTTTTAAAGGAAAATGGCATGCAGGGGAGGAAGTGTGTTTTTGTCTTTACACTGGTTTCCAGGGGGCAAGAAAATTTTTGTGGGGGGTGGGGGTGGGGGTGTAAAGAGCCGAAGAGAACGAATGTAAACTTTGTAAGCCATCCAGTCTCAGTTACAGCACAGACTCTGCCCTTGCACCTTGTTTTTTCTTTTCTGAGAGACAGTCTTGCTCTGTCGCCCAGGCTGGAGTGTAGAGTGCAGTGGCACATTCTCGGCTCACTGCAACCTCCGCCTCCTGGGTTCAAACATTTCTCCTGCCTCAGCTTCCCGAGTAGCTGGGACTATAGGCACACATCAGCACGCCTGGCTCATTTTGTATTTTTAGTAGAGATGGAGTTCGCCATGTTGGCCAGGCTGGTCTTGAACTCCTGGCTCAAGTGATCTGCCCACCTTGGCTTCTCAAAGTGCTGGGATTATAGGTGTGAACCACCATGCCTGGCCTAAGTGAGTTCTTGAATTATCCTTTTTCACTGCCACTTTTTTTTTGGGGGGGGGAGTGGGGGGATAAAGGATTTTCTTTTTTACTTAATTTTATTTATTTATTTATTTTAAAAACTTTTAGGTTCAGGGGTACGTGTGCAGGTTTGTTACATGGGTAAACTGTATGCCACTTTGTGTACCGATTATTTTGTCACCCACATAATAAGCATCGTACGTGACAGTTAGATTTTCCATCCTCATCCTCCTGTCCTTCACCTTCCAGTGGCCCGGTGTCTGTTTTTCCCCGTCTCCGTGTCTGTGTATACCCAGTGTTTAGCTCCCACGTATAAGTGAGAACATGTGCGTCCACTTAGGAGCATGGCCTCTCTACGTCCATCCACGCTGCTGCAGAGGGCGTGATCTCGTTCTTTTTCCTTTAATTAAGTAATTTTATTCTTTATGATTTATACTGAGACAGGTATAAATAACTCATAAAAAGTCTGAGTTTTTTTGCTTCTGAGTAACAGTGGTAACAGTACCAGCAACAGTAGCAAGGATGATAAAACCAATTCTTAGTTTCCAAGCCAGTTAAGAAATGTTACTATGGGCCGGGCACGGCGGCTCAAGCCTGTAATCCCAGCACTTTGGGAGGCCGAGACGGGCGGATCACGAGGTCAGGAGATCGAGACCATCCTGGCGAACACGGTGAAACCCCGTCTCTACTAAAAAGTACAAAAAAACTAGCTGGGCGAGGTGGCGGGCGCCTGTAGTCCCAGCTACTTGGGAGGCTGAGGCAGGAGAATGGCGTGAACCCGGGAGGCGGAGCTTGCAGTGAGCTGAGATCCGGCCACTGCACTCCAGCCTGGGCCACAGAGCGAGACTCCGTCTCAAAAAAAAAAAAAAAAGAAATGTTACTATGGAAAGGAATCAGCAAAAACAATGTTACTGTCTTGACACAGTAAAATGTGTGCACAGCAGGGTAAAGGGAGGGTGGTTTTACTCAACGAAGTTATTGTGACAATCAGAGCTTCTAAGCTGACTGCATTAGCCAAGCACCACTGACTTTTGTGGGGGTCTGTCTCTGTCGCCCATATAGGACTTGGACCCTCTGTGGAACACCCGAGTACCTGGCCCCGGAAGTCATTCAGAGCAAGGGCCACGGAAGGGCCGTGGACTGGTGGGCCCTCGGCATCCTGATATTCGAGATGCTCTCGGGGTAAGTGGAATCTCCGTAGAGAATCTTCATCTTACAGGCCAGCACCCCCTTCCCCCACCCATTCATCCCCTCGGCGTTTCTGTAACCTTGAAAACAGTACGTGAGTATCACAGACACATGGTGTGGCTGCACACACATCTGCTGCCCTGCTGAGGTTGGCAATGTGAATTAGCAGTTGAGCTTGTTTGAATAAGCGGCAAAGAACCTAAACTTGTGAAGGAACCACCCATGCATGCCCATTGAGATTTTTGTATTGAAATACCCATATCTTCCTTAAATATAAAATTAACGCTCTGGGCCCCTCTGAAGGTAGTGAGTTATCTCAGTTGGTTTTCACAGTTAGCTACAGATTGAACTTGCTCTCCTCTTTTCCTCCTTATCACTTCTGTGTTTAGTCAGTCTTAAAAAGAATTCAGAAATTAAAGTAAAAAATGAATCTTCTGCACAGACCCTTGCTGAAGTAACCTGCAGAGCTCAGGAGGGCACAGGTTGGGTCAAGGTAAATCAGCGAAATACAATTGAGTGGCTTCTGCGTGAACAGCCGGCGAGGAAGGTGAGAATATGTTCTCTCCTAAAACCGCACACCTGTGGCACAGGAAAGGGGTGCCGACCCAGACCCCAACACAGGGTTCTTGGATCTCTCGCTAGAAAGAATTCGGGTAAAGTCCATAAAGTGAAAGAAAGTGTATTAAGAAAGTAAAAGAATAAAAGTATGGTTACTCCTTAGGCAGAGCAGGCCCGAGAGCTGCTGGTTGGCTATTTTGATGGTCATTTCTTGACTATATGCTAAACAGGGGGTGGATTTTTCATGAGTTTTCCTGGAAAGGGGTGGGCAAGTCCTGTAGCTGAGGAGTTCCTCCCCTTTTCAGAGCATATAGGGTAACGCCCTGTCCTGACGTTGTCGTGGCATTTGTAAACTGTCATGGTGCTGGCGGGAGTGTCTTTTAGTACCTAATGCATTATAATTAATGTATAATGAACCGTGAGGACGATCAGAGGTCACTGTTGCCGCCATCTTGATTTTGGAGGGATTTGGCCAGCTTAGTAGCAGCCTGTTTTATCAGCAGGGTCTTTGTGTGCTGACCTCCTATCTCGTCCTGTGACTTAGAATGCCTTAACCGTCTGAGAATGCAGCCCAGTAGGTCTCAGCCTCATTTTACCCGGCCCCTGTTCAAGATGGAGTTGCTCTGGTTCCAGCGCCTGTGATCCCTGTGTTGGGTGACATTTGGAAGTCAGGGGAGGTGCCATCCTCCCTGCCACCACATAACAGAGAGGTCGGTCATTTGTTGGGATGTCAGCATGATTGAGTGTTCGAGTCTAGCATGTGCCTGGGACAACTCCACTATGACTTGACCAGAAACGCAAGGGAAGCATGCAACACTTGGAAACCCAGGACGTGGGCGTCATCCTCATTCCGTTGTTAGTACCCAGCATGTCCATTAATTCCCTAAGACGACTCAGTAGCGTGGCACTTTTCCAGAAAGGAACCTGTAGGAAGGAGTGAGCTACGTGTGTGCAGAGGAACTGTTGCACTGTGTGGCTGTGCACGAAAGGCTCTCCTCTCTGGGATGAAGACGAGAGGAAGCCCAGCCTGCGAGGGCCCAGAACACCGGTTGGGGGATCCTCTGCCGTGCTTTGCCACAGCCGACGCTCTGCCTTCTATGTTCTCTCTTTTCCTGTTTCCTTCTTTTTTCTGCCTGCCCCTGAGTCTCAAAGACAGACACCAGCGTATCCTCTGAGTGCCTTCCGTTGTCGCAAAAGCCAGATCCTCGCTCACATCTCTCTGATTCCCTGCAGGGGGTCAAGACCAGAGATTTTTACTGGGAAACTTTCCCTTTCAGTTGGAAACAAAGGAGGGAAGGAGGAGAGGCATTCTCCTGCCTGGAAGGCGGGTCTCAGCCAGATCCTGCTGGCGGGAGCACCCAGACCCAGCGCTTGTTCCTGGGGGTGTGGAGCATGTGACATTCTAACATCCACCTTAGGAAATCCAGGCAGTCACTGACTTTTGTTTGGGGAGCAGACAGGGGTCATCGTCCCATGTGCTTATCTCTGCCATCTTTTATGAAGAAAGTGAATCCGTTAATTCCCACACTAGCTTCGGGATCAGAACGATGTTGAACAAGCACTGCCAAAGAACTCCACCACAAAACCGGAGCCTGAGATGCCACAGGAGGAGAGTGGAACCCACAAACACCTGTATTTCATTGTCTGCCTATCCATGTATATTGTTTATCATCCATCCATCTACCCATCTGTTTATCTATGTTTATATACTTTTCCATCCATCCACCCATCTACCCCTCCACCCCTTCATCCATCCATCCACCCACCCCTTCATCCATTCAACCATCCACCCCTTCATCCATCCATCCACCCACCGCTTCATTCATCCATCCACCCACCCTTTCATCCATCCATCCACCCACCCATCCCTTCATCCATCCACCCACCCCTTCATCCATCCACCCACCCCTTCATCCATCCATCCACTCACCCCTTCATCCATCCATCCATCCATCCATCTACCCCTTCATCTATCCATCCATCCACCCCCCC